CTATGCCCTGAAATACTAAATAATATTTAGAATTTTTGCTCCTTGAAGTTTTTATAACGTATATACAGTTGTCCAAGTCTAGTGCCTTTTTAGGAAATAATCTTTGACAGTTTTTTCAGTGTTTTCCATGCTCATTGGTCTCTTCAGACCTTCTTCCTATTCTGTAAGTTTTGGGCCATTTAAATTTCCCAAATAATGATTCTGTTAAGATTTTCAGATTTGCTAGCATGAAGTTGCTGTATTTCCTCTTCTCATTTCTTATGTTGGGTGTCATGCTTCCTTTTTTCTGATGAGTTTTTCCAAAATTAGTTGGTTTTACTAGAAATTATAAGGCTCTGACTTTCCTTCTGAATACTTCTTTATACATAGCCCTTAAATTTTTAGATGTGGTGTTATAAATAATTTCAGATTTGACTTTATTTTTTACTGAAGAGTTATTTGAAATTATACTTTTTCACTTCTAGACAGTGCGATATTTGTTGTTGTTGTTTTTAACATTTGCTATAAATTTCTAGTTTTACTGCCTTGCTGTCAAAGAGGGTATGGCCTGTACAATTTCTGCACTTTAAAGTTTATTTTTGTTTTGTTAGGACCTAATACATTGTTAATTTTAATAAATATTCCCAGGGAACTGCAAAAGAAGGCATATTCTTGGAAGGGAATAAAATTTATCTATATGTATTAATTTGATTTTATTAATTATAATATTATGGGCCTTTAATGTTTTTACTTACTTGACTCAGTAAAAACTAAAGGAAGTATGTTAATCTCCCACTATTTTTGTCTTTCCATCTCTCTTGTGTTTCTACAGTATTTGCTTTATGTGTTTCGGTATGATGTTATTTGGCAAATTCTCTTTTTATATTTAGGGGGAATTTTTTTTTTTCCCTTAAAGCCTTGTATACCTTCATGAATTTTACCTGATTTTGTTGTAACCGTTGTTTATGTTGAAATACATAGTTCAGTAACATGTTTGGTGTCTCTTTTTAAGTGAACAAAAAATCTTCCAGGAGCCTTTGTGTCTGAAGAAGACGTTTTGAAAGCGCTCGGCGTCCCCAAGGGTAGGCTGATGGTCTGTGTGGGTACAGGTGCTGTGCCTTGGGAATGGAATGAGGGGTTTTGAGTATGTAACATTCCCGACTGCTGCTTTGGGGCATCCCCACGCTCAGGTAAGCTTAGGGGACACCTCCCCTTCAGCTGGTCGCATTCTGTCTGCCTAGGGCCAATACCAAAACTTCTCTCAACCCAAAAGGCAGTTTTCTTATGTGGGCTCGTCTTCCAAGCAGAAGGCAGCAAGAGTGTGTGCCTATGTTCCTGGCTCTTGAGGGGAAAGCTAATCTCAGAGACTCCTTCCACCAGAAAAGAGTTTTCCAGAGTTTTTTGAGCTCCAGATTATTCATGTGGCAGTCTGTGCAAGGCAGGGAACCAACTTTCCCTTCCCCAAACACGTGTAGGAGGTGTGAATCTCAACCCGCCGCTCATGAGTGAAAGAAATATGGTCTTCTCTATTTTCCCTTCATTCAAGTTCACATCTGTTCTGAGCCCTGTTTTACCAGGCTCATGCAAGTTGATCTCAGTCAGTCCTGGGCCCCTCCTTTCTCCAGATGTGTGAGAGGCGTCTGTATTCCCAAGGCGTGAGGGGACCGGGCGTTTGTGTCTGCTGAGATGCCTCGTCTTCCTGCCCTTGCCCCGGCCGGCCGCCGCTCCTTTCTCCCCGCGGGCGTGCTCGGGAGTACGGGAACCACTCAGGTGCTCCTGCGCTGCGGGGTTCCCTGTGGGGCTGCCCGAGGCCCTGCTGGCAGCCCCCCTGCTCAGCAGCACGGGCTTGGGCGGAGGGTGACTTAACCTGCTCCGCGCACAGCGGCTCACACGGCCTTGTGCCTCTCTGGGTGCCATGCTCTCTTCTCTCCCGCACCGCCCCGACCCTCTCCCTGGTCTTCTCACTCCAGGCTCTCCTCCATCTTCTGCCTCTAGTTGCTTAAAGGGCCAGAGGCCCCTCCCTAAAGCGTGGGACAGATCAGCTTGTAGCCCCACATCTGCCGTCCTTCACCCCCACGTCCTTCGTGAGGCCACACCAGGCACCTCCCCAGACGGCTCTTGCCTGGCTGTCTCATTTCTCTGTGCTCACCCTGCTCCTGCCTTTCCTGCGCCTGGAGCCCTTCCTCTGCTCCAGCTTCATTCGCCTTCTTAGGCCCAGGTCCAAGGCCTTGCCTTTAGGCTCAAAATCAGCGATGCCCAAGGACCTTCTTTCATGCTCCTTACGTAGCTCTGTGCACACTCAGAGCTCTTCAAGGTTTAATCTGTTGTTCACTTAATAAATATTTCTTGAGCACATTTATGCTCAGGGCCTGGGAACACGAGAGTCGAAAGGCAGAGATATTTTCCACAAATCTCTGACATTCCCGTGGAGAGGAGAGATGCTGTGTCGCGGGAGGCAATGGGACTCAGCAGTGGGGGTTGGTTTGCCGCTCTCAGGCGACCAATAACGGGCCAGAGCACAGCCCCCTCCCCAGCGCCGGGGTGACCTCGGGGCTCTCTGAAGAGGACCGTGTGGACAGCAGGCGCCAGGGCCCATGCCTTGGCAGGAACCTGCTGTGACTGAGCCCCCCCCGCCTCACTCTTCCCGCGCCCCGGCCCCTTCACGTCCCGCCTGGCTTGTGCACAGCAGTGCCGTTCTAAGGATGGTCTGCAGGCCAGCGGCTGCAGCGCTCCCAGGGGTCGTCAGCCCATGTCAAAAAATCCTCCTGGACTAGGACTCGCAGTCCTGGCCTGGCATCATGCAGTCGAACAAGTGCCTTGTGTTAGGCAGGACGGTGGCCTCTCAAAGATACCCGCATCCTAACCCCCAAAACCTGTGACCGTGCTACCGTACCTGGCAGAAGGGCCCTGGCCTTTGGGATGAAGGTGATGGACCTTCGGCGGGGAGGTTCTCCCGGCGTATCTGGGTGGGCCTAATGACATGAGTTCTTAAAAGCAGAGACCCTTTCCTGGCTGGGGACAGAAAGAGATGCGATGGCAGAAGTCAGATGCAATACTGCTGGCTGTAAAGATAGAGGAAGGGGCCAAGAGCCACGGAAAGCAGGCACCTTCTACAAACACCGACAGGCAAGAAAGCGGCTTCTCCCCTAGAGCCTCCGGAAAGGGACGCAGCCTTGCCCACTCCTTGATATTAGCCCAGTGAGCCCTGTGTTGGACCTTGGACCTACACAAAGGTAAGATAATAAATTGGTGGTGTTTTGAGCCTCTTAGTTTGTTATGGTAGCAATAGAAAACCAATACACTCTTTATGAGTTTACACACCTAAGATTTGAGAACCTCTGCTGTCTAAATTCACTCGGCTACATGGATTGCATGATGGGAGGTCAGCAATCAGACACCTGCCTGTTGGCTCTAGCTCCTGCTGCCACCTGCCTCATTCCCCAGTTCACCTTCTGGAGAGGGAGCGAGTGAACAAATGAGTCTGATGGCCCAGCTCCTCGTTTGGTTTTTTGTTTGTTTGTGTTAAGGTTTTATTTTTAGAGAGAGGGGAGGGAGAAAGAGAGGGAGAGAAACATCAATGTGTGGTTGCCTCTTGTGCGCCCTGTACTGGGGTCCTCGCCCACAGCCCAGGCATGTGCCCTGACTGGGAATCGAACTGGCAGCCTTTCAGATCGCAGGCCGGTGCTCAGTCCACCGAGCCACACCAGCCAGGGCCCAGCTCCTTGTTTTGTACTCCAGGATTGCCGATAGGATACTGCTGGTTACGGACTGGCTGTCCTTCGGTCCCCAGGGCTGTGGACGGGGAGGCGGTGTAACTGGAGACCAGGACAAGGTGGTGGTGTAGGAGAAAGAGGGGTCGGGGCAGACTTGGGAGAGGGGGAAGCTAGGGGTTGAGCCTGAGGGGGCATATGCCATGGGTTTGCTGGGACCTGGGGGCCGAGGGCTGCGGGCATCCCAGGCACTGAGGCTAAGTCGGCAGGGCCGTTTGGGGCAGGCAGCAGCCGGCTTGGGGTTGCTGGAGTGCAAGCCCTGGGGTAGGAGAAGGGGCCGCTGGGGAGAGCAGCAGGCCTCGGGCTGGGTCCGCCGTACTGAGGCATCACAGGCTGGGGCGCAGCGGGCCACTCCGGTTGGGGCGGTGAAGGTCAACGGGCAGCACCGTGGAAGGCGGGTCAGAGGGATTGGAAGCTAGACAATAGGAGACAGGCTGTCCCCTCTCCCTGGCTCTGGATTCCGCGAGGCCAGAGTCTGGACTGACTTCAAAGCTTGGCTAGAAAAGTGGGGAACAGGAAAAAGGGGGAGAGAGTGTTCCAGAGAGGAAGAAGTTTAGATGCATAAGACACAATTGAGCCAGGGGGTTTAATTAGGAGCACTCTTTGAAAAAGTGTCCCTTTTTTTTGAAGGCTTCTCATCTTTGGCAGAGCTTAGAAAGCAAAATCTGAGGATTTGCCATGCCTGAGTGAGCTCACTGGTGTCTCAAAATAGGGCATTTACAACACTTAAAATAAAAGTCCAACCGAGTTCTGATTTTGCTGTTTGTAAAAATATCGCCTTCTTTCCAGAGAAATATTTTGGGGCTAAGCTTGGCCTGTGTGTGGTGGGGAAGGCGGCCTGGGGAACAGCCCCCCAACCTGCCTCTGGGGTTTGAACTGGAAGCCAGTGGAAACAGGATCGCCACTGCAGTGGCCCGGGGGGCGGGGGCAGGCTCTGAGGTTAGTGGGGACGCTTCGGGCAGCTGAGAAGTGCGTGTTCTGCCCTGTGTTGGTCCCTTCCCGTCTGCTAATTTTAACACAGAGCGAGGGGGGAAAAGGATCCCAACATGAGACTTCAGTTTCGAGGGGAACAACAGTTCCCTCCACCCTTAGTATTTCCTTAAACAAATGTTTAGCTGAAATCTTACTAAAACTTCATGTCCCGCCCCCCCGACACAGACAGGGGGGCTGTGCGTTTCATAGTTAAGATTTCATGTTTTCATTTCCTCATGAGTGACACTGATACATTAGAAATAGTTCTTTATTGTGAATTTATACGGTGCTTGATACATAAAATATATTTCATTTAAAACAATTCCTGAATATAAGCAATTGATTCCAATTATTGCTAAAGTAATGTTCACATTCGACCCTTTCAATCAGAGGAAACCAAGACAGTGCACACAGGACGTGGTCGGTGGTCTGATCGTGCTGTTCACCACGTGCCACGGTCACGTAAACGTTTTTCAAAATGAGGGATTGACTCTCGAGCATCCATGGTGAAAAATAAGTATCATTCTCTTAGGCCGGCAATATTTACTGTGGGTTCTTAGGTCTCGGCCGCGGTTTGGTGTGTGTAAGTCCCCACCTCTCTACTTCCATGATTTTTGGTGTTTTTAAAAAATTAATTATTTTTATAGAGAGGGGAAGGGAGGGAAAGAGGGAGACAAACATCAATGTGTGAGAGAAACATCCACCAGTTGCCTCTGGTGCACCCCCAACTGTAGACCTGGCCTGCAAACCAGAAATGTGTCCTGACTGGGAATCGAACTGGCGACCTTTCGGTTCACGGGCGGCACTCAATCCACTGAGCCACTTCCGCCAGGGCCACTTTCCCGGTGTTAAAGGCCACAGCGTTATACCACAGCTGCAGCACCACACACAGCTCTGCTGCCCGTCCGGGTGTCGTGTGGCCAGTCTACCCTGTTCACATGCTTTTCACGAACAGGCCTTGGGCCCCCGTGGCTTCTCTCCAGCCCACGGTGCAAGGCCCTTGGCCTTGCAGAAGAGCTTAGTGGTCCCACTCGCTCTGGCCATCCTCCTCTTCTTCCTCCGAGTCAGCGGACACTTTCTTGATCCTCTGGAGCGCAGCCTTGATGCTCCTCTCCAGGTCGCTGGTGGGCTTGCTGCTGGGGCTCAGGCCAAGGTTGGGGCGAACCTTCTTCAGTGTGACACCCTGCCTGATGGCAGCCAGAATGTTCTCGTTGACTGAGGAGCGGGGAGGGGCCATGGCGGGCGCTTCCGCCTTTGGGACAGGGGCTCGGCGATGCCGTAAGGAGGCCAGCACTTCATCCATAGACCCTGAAGCTGAATGAACAGAGCAAGAAAGCAAGTACTGTCAGGAACGCGTACTCTTTCTCCCCAAGACCCCAGCACATTTTTGTATTCGTTAAAGGTTAAGTCATGAGGTGATGTGTTAAGTCACATCAGCTAACGCTGTGATTTAAACAAATGATCATTGTTCCGTTAAAGGCATGTTTGCATTACCTGCTAGAAAGGTCAACCATAAATAAGCTCCCTGTGTGAATCCAGGATAGTTCCACCACTAATATTTTATCGTGAGCTCCTGTTTGCAGTTTCTCAGGTCTGCGGCAGCTCACAGGCACAGCCTTCTGTTAGCGTGGATGCGGAGACGCTCCCGTGCAATCCTGAAGCGTAACACGCCTGGCTGGGAACAGCCTGGCCCCATGTGCATGACTTAGAGATGCCTCTGACATTTCATCTCTCCCCTTTCCCTCCCCACTTTAAAAAATATCTGCTTAGAATAGGTGCCCTGCTTTATTTCTCTAACTTCAGTCTTGGATATTAGTCAGCGATGACTAATGAGTCAATGTGACAACGAAGCGAGGAGGTTTCCCCACAAGAACAGGCTTTAAAGGGAAACTTGAATCAGTAGCCCAGGGAGCCTGCGGGGGTGGCAGTGGCACTTCTCTCTGTATGTAATGTCTTTACTTCCACCTACAGCCCCCAAGGTAATTTACATGCTCTGTTCTTGAGGGTGTGAAATGCTGTCAAAACACAAATTAGATCAGAGTTTCAAAGCCTTGGAGGGTAGAAGCTATATTTCACCCTGGCTCCTTGAAATCCCTGAGTGGGGAAACCTTTGACCACCTGCTGGGGACAGGGGTATGACTGCGGCCACTAATGTCCTGGTCTTCCAGGGACAATGTCGAGATAAACAGTCATTTCTAGCTCAGAAGTTGAGGTCATGCGATGGCTAACAAAGTACTATGTCGCTTTGGACTTAAGCCTGTAGCTCTTTACCGTGATACTCTTCTAGGAGTATAGTAAAGGGCATTTTTTGGTGGCTTTTCCTCTTTTTCCTTTCTCCTCTTGCCAGCGGGAGGAGGCCGAGTGTGGGAGTTGGATGGGGCTTCCCCCCACGGTGCCCAGGCTGGACCGAGGCCGACCAAGACCTGCCCGCATCTGAACTCCAGGTGGGCACCGGCACGCACGCCTTCTCCCCCCACGCACACACTGCCGTTGCAGACCCCATGGTGGGGCCGTCTGTTCCCCACCTGACAGCGTGGACTTTTTCCTCTGTACCTGGTATTAGGTACAGTGACACCTTGAACTTGAATTGAGTATTCGACCAGAATACTCAATTATCCAGAACCACAGTTTGAAACTCTTATATTTCAGTCATTCACATCCCCTATCACTGTACCTGTGCGTGTTCTGGGTGGAGGCACTCAAGCGTAGTTTTGAAAACAAAGGTACACAGCGTTTTGCTAGGATTACCTAACAACCCGCCCCCCAAGCATTAGGCTATGAGTCTGGGCAGGGTTAAGCCACTGTTCTCAGTAGTCAGTGTCTAAATTTTAATTGGAATTAGAAGTTAGAACTATAGCCCTCGAGCATATTCAGCGTACTGTATTTGCAAAGGTAGAAAGTGGTCCACTATTTTTTTTTTTTAACCACTTCATTTTAGAAAGATTTCCCATAGGAAGGTTTGTCAGTCTACCTGTCAGTCTGCAGGGAGAGCCTTCCGTATTCTGACTAATATTCCTCTACAATAATTCCCAGCCAATCTTCTGCTTAAAATGCCACAGGTTAATTCTGCAAAGGACTCAGACGCAACAGTAATTCAGAGCAACCTTGAATAATTTGCAAATGGCAGAAATCAAACACATACTGGAGTCTTAAGAGACGTGAAATAGGTTGATTCTTTAACAGCCTCAGCAATCCCAAGTCATGTGACCATTAAATGTGTAGAGATGGTTTGTTCAAGGTGAGGTAGCGTTTATCACTCTTGATTTAGGCTATACTAACTTTGAAAAAAAAAAAAGTCCCATTTAAGGCAGCAAACAGTGGACTATTTTAAGATTGCAGAGAATTCTGAAAAAGATTTTGATTTGAAGGGAGCAGATACAGAATTCTGGCAGATTACCTGGGCACTTAAAACCGTCTGAGGAATCGTGGGGTCTTTCAGCAGGTGATTCACATACTAGAGGAAGTGGCTGATCATCGTTTACTGAAGTCCTGATGTGTAAATTCAAATTCCGATGATTTGCAGATAGAGAAGAAGAAGGTGAAGCAGGGGGGAGCGGGGGTGCAGGTGGAGGCGGAGGAGGCGGAGGAGGAGGAGGGAGAGGCGGCGGCGGCGGCGGTAGTGACAATTCCCCACTGGCTTTGGAGTGTGTCTGGTCGCCTCCTTGAACAAAAATCTGGACAGGGATATTTCCAGGGCAGTCTTGAAACTTGGGGGGTTGCACGTTACTAACTTCAGACAAGGGAGCACTTCTGGTTTTCTTGAAGGACGGAGGGATTACCGCCTCCGTCTGGGACGTCGGCCAGGAGGCCTGCTGGGGGAGTTCACCTGGCGGGTGCGGAGCTTCAGGTTCTGCTGAGCGAGGGCTCTTTCGTACGGACCGACCTGGACATCTCTGAAAATGGAAAACTGTTGCATTAGAAATTCGCCGCAAATGCAAGCTATCAAAACGTTGGAACTTTCTATAAACAATGAATGCCTAAGAGTTTCTGTGCATGGATCGTTCTAGTTCACAAAGCAGCTCCTTTCCACTTTGTTCAGCCACTCCCGCTACCAAGTTTATTAGAGCATAAACATTGCTATCCTTTCATATAATACTTTCTCCATAATAAAATAGGTACGGAAAGATACATATAAAAAATCATATTTTTAGTATGAAAAAACAGAAACTAAGTGTGAACAACAGGAGGTCAGCTTAAAAAATTAGGGTGAATTAATTTAAAATATTTGGCAGCCACAAAAAGTATAGACAGTACAAATTCAGTGAAACACTGAAAAATACAGCTGATGCAGTATTCCATTTACAACCATGTGAAAAACAGATCTATGAAAAATACTAGCAGAATGATGATTATAACAGGAATTATGAGTTTCTTTTCTCTACTTTTTAGGCTTAGAATAAATTTTGTAATTTAAAAGTGAATTTAAAAAGTTCTGGTCTTTCAGGTGTTCATTTGATAAAGGAAACCCTAACCTTACAAAAAATGAATCTGGAGGGGTGGGGGTCCCTAAAGAAGGCATTGATTAACCAATAAAACACATAAAGTAGGCCTCGCTTGGTGTGGCTCAGTGGATTGAGCACCAGCCTGCGAACCAAAGGGTCGCCCGTTCGATTCCCAGTGCAGGGCACAGGCCTGGGTTGGAGGCCAGGTCCCCAGTAGGGGGCGTGTGAAATGCAACCACACATGGATGTTTCTCTTCCTCGCTTTCTCCCCCTCTCTCAAAATAAATAAATAAAATCTTTTTTTAAAAAAACACATAAAATAAGAATACTGTGTAGCCATTAAAATGAACCAGAGCTATACATACGAGCATGGATACATCTCAAAAACAATTTAAGTGAAACAAATGGAAAAGGATGTATACAATAGGATCCGACTATTGTAAACTTAAGCCAAAAACCCATACCAAATTTAAAGCACTGAGTAAACTCAAAACACACACAAAATCACAATTCACGATAAACTCAGAGGATTTGTCTCCGGTTTTTCTAAAGCATTTTGAAATAAACAGCAAAGCAATGGCCACGGCACCGCCGCCCCCAGCCCTGCCGCCCCCCCCCCCGGCCCCGGTGCAGCTGCCATCCTGCAGTTCGGGGTCGGAGAGCAGGCCCACACAGCAGGATCCCAGAAACTGGCCAGACTCCAGGGGCCGACCAGCCACCCCGATGTCGGGGCTCCCCGAGCACCCCCTCCTTGTATCCCGGCAGCCATAGGTCTCTGTCTGATATAGCTGGGCAGTCTGCCTCCCGGACGGCTCACCTAGAACAAGTGAGACCCTTTATCTCCCAACAGCCCTTGAGATACTTAAAAACAACTTGTCTGGGCTCCACAAGTATCACGTATCACATGGTTTCATTTCAGGTCTTCTGCTTTCCTTCCTTCATTCCAAATGCACTCAAGTTGCCTATGTCCCCTTCGATTATGGCACGTCTTGGTACACTGTAGAGAATCTCCTCATTCTACAAAGGATGCTACTGTTCTTTCTAAAACTCATGAGTTTTTCTGCAGCTTCATCCCAAGTGATTCACATATAACTGAAGGAAACTAAATTCTCATGTTTCTTTTCCCTGCATTTAAATCACACACACACACACACTCCTCCCTACACCCCTATATAAGTGCATTTCTGGAGCAAAGACGCTGCAGCTTAAACCAGTTTGAGGTCACCTTGTTGGAATTTTTAAAACTCATCGTTCCAGTTTGCTGAGAGCCTGGGTGGCCTGATTCGGTCCCCTTCCATCTGTGTAACCTCTCACCTTCATACCAGCCCTTTTTGGACGTGGGTCACTGATCTCTCTGACTGGCTCAGGGCCCAGGACTTGCACTTGCATCCCTCGAATCCCTTCCTCTGTACCAGTTCCACTCACCAGTCACCCTCTGGTGGCGGCTCATCGGCCAGGGACGCACCAGCTCGTTTGCTGTACGTGCTGCCGGCCTTCGGTGGCTCCCCTGCAGTGCATTGTTCCCGCTGCCACGCACGCCCAGGCCCCCGGCCAGAATCGCTGGAGGAGGGTCTGGGCGTTCGCACTTCTAGAAGCTCCCCAGGGGCTCCCGAGGTGCTGCCTGGGCTGGAACCTCCCTGTGGTGCCTCTGAGGTTAGTAAGACCCGGCTCCGCACAGCCCTGAGCCAGGGCATGTGACCACTCTGAGCCTTGGCCCCTCATCGGTGAAGTGGAGAGGAGAGTAACTTACAGGGACATTTTAAAAATTAAAGGAGAACGTAAGTGCCTAGCACGGTGCCTGGGGTGTGGCAGGCACTTGGTGATGGTCAGAGCAGGAAGCGTCTCAGGAAAAACGCTGACGTTGGAATGTCCTGACTTTTTGCTCCAGGGGTCCCTCCTTCTCTTGTGGGTGCCATGAAGACACCGCAGTGCCACACGCCAGAGGCTCGTCTGGGGTGGGCTCTTTTCTCTCAGGGGACGACCGCAAACCTGCGTCTTTGTGACGGTGCCTGTGGGGATGTGTGATGAGAACGGGTTTATGTCTTACGTTCAACAAGTTTCTTTTAAAATAAGTAACTATTTACTTAAAAAAAAACAACTTACTTTTAATAGAGCACCTAACTATAGTTCTGTCACAAAGTTTCCTTGACTGCATTTTAAAAAATTCTTCATTGCAAATGAGAAGAAAGCCAGCTCAAGTTGAGGGCAATGTAACTACTTTCCGTTTTCCCTGCTGGTGGACACGTGGCGGGGCAGGGGGGGGGTGCGGCCAGGTCAAAGCGCCTCCCTGTTCTACCCTCGTTGGCTTTTATCTACATACGAAAAACAACGGCATTTGGGGAACACTTTGTGTTCCAGAGGAGCTGCTCGTCAGGCTCCCTCCTCCCCGCCCCCCGTGCCCCCAGGACGGGTGACCTTGATTTATTGCTTCAGAAAACGTCCGCAAGGCAGTCTTTGCGGGGACGTACCTCTTTAAATGCTCTCAACCGTTGCAGCGTCTTCTGGCGTTCTTGGTTTATCCATTCTTTTTTCTTTTGCTCCTCTTCTTTTAACTTGTCTCTCTTCTATATTTAAACAAATACACATTTGTAAATTCCTTAAAATAAAAGTCTTGAGAGAAAAAGGGGCCGCCTCCCCGGGACCACCGCCGTGCCTTCAGGCCCGCGCTGCCGCGGCGGGGCCGGGCACCGGGCTCCAGCGTCTGCACAGTTACGCCAGGGTGTCACATCATGCAAATCTACAATAGTTTTCTTTCACGACTCACCATCTGAATACTATGGTGCTGATGAAAATATCTCACACTCTCCTCAGCCTGTTGCAATCGGAGCCGATGATTTTCTTTGCATTGATCCTGGTGGAATAATACAAATCACCTACATGGTTTTTACTGTTACCGTGGGCTACAGCATAAGAGGTGAAGAGGAAAAAGCGCAGCCTTTGGCATTCGAAACAGTGAGGCATTCGCGAACGGGAGTCTCCGGGGAGCCCCCGAGCCGGGAGCCTGCCCGGCGCCTGCAGGCATCCGTCGTGCCTGTGAGGAGGGCCACAGGTTCAGTGCTTTGAGAGATGCCAGCGTGAATTCTCGGACCAAGGGCAAATGAGAGAGAGGATACACATTTCCTCGTAATGTTACAAACAGTATTACACTTCCAAATGTACCTATACAAGTTCACCCAACCTACAAATACCTGAAAAGTTATATTAAAAACTATATTTCAATGATGCCTAACCATTCTTAGCATGTTACCTTTTTAAATAATCATGGGATTAAGAAGAAAATCACCAAATATAAGGATTGAAATGAGCTACATATTATCCCTGATTTTATAATCAACAATTTACACTGAATTTTAGAGTTTACTACAGCTAATAATTAGAAGTTTTTCCCTACTGTGATTTTAAAATGCCTAGGTATATAATAGGCATTCAACAAATGGCTATTGAATGAATTAAAATCCACAAATTATGAGAAAGGCTGAAAGACGGAAAGAAACAGAATCATTCTAAGGAAAAACAATCGTAGACATATTGTAATTGCAGCTCCTGGTATCCGTATCAACGCACAGAAAAATACGGTACAGGCCTTCTCCTCGACACCTCTAATTTATCTTTCATGAAAGAAGAAATGCCCGCGAGGGAAAGGCAGCGAGCCGCCCGGCGCCCACCTTCCTGCTCCGGAGGCAGGCCCTCCTGGCGCAGACCCGGCCCCGCCTGTGCTCCAGCTGCCGGCACTGCCGGCTGAGCTCCTCGGTCTCCGCGCTCTGACCCTGCAGCCCCGCTGTCCGATCCAGGACGCTAAGCTCTTCCGGACTTTCGCACGGGTCGTAATAGACAACTTCATCCTGTTTATCTAAAAAGTATGTAATGATCTTTAGAGACAGGCTTTACTATAACAAAGAATGCACGCCATTTTTTAAGGGGAAGGAAAGTAAAGATCATGTGTAATCCCACCACCGAGGGAGAACCACTGTGCACGTGTGTGTGTGTGTGTGTGTGTGTGTGCGCTTTCACACACACAGCTACACATATCAGTACACAGTTCCAAGAGAACATTTTCCACATAATGACAGTAAGGTTTTAATGGCAACACAGTATTCTCTAATTTAAACAATGTTTGTTGTTATAATGTTGCATCCTCAATTTCATTCTGAATATAGATCTTTGTGCACATTTTTTATTACTTCCTTAACAGATGGATATTTAAGGGTCTTGATAACTATAGTCAAATTGCCCTGTAGAAAGGCAACTTACATTCTACCAGCAGTATATTATTAAATGGCATTAATAATGTGTCATCTTGACTACATACTGATTTTTTAAAAACATATGCATGTTAATTGTAACAAATTCAAGCCCTACAGAATTACAGTAAATAAAAAGTGAACTTTTCTTCTTCCTTTCCCAAACCTTTGGAATCTCAACCCAGAGGAAAACATTAGCAATCTGGCATACATCCTTCCAGGTTAACTTTTTTAAAATAAAATTTTTCCTAAATATGTAAAATGCTTATAACCTGAAACTATTATGAAGTTTTTTGAATTCCTGGGATTAAATTAAATATTCAGGATCTATATGAAAAAAACTGTTAATCTTGGAAAAACTTGAGGGGAAAAAAGGACGTAAGCAAATGGAGAGACATACCATGTTCTTGGATGGGAAGATTCAAAATTGCAAAGATGACAATTCTCCCCCAATTAATCTCTAATTTTAAGCACCATCCCAATAAAAATTCCAAGTTTTGTTTTTGTTCGTTTGTTTTGAACGTGTCAAAATGATTCTAAAGTTCATCTGGAAGAATAAAGGAGAACAGTCCGAAAACTCGTGGAGTAATGGAGTAGCAAGGGGGGTGCATGCTTCACGGGACACTGGAAGAGGCCCCCAAGACACAATGGGGAGAGTGTGGTACCAGTACCAGGAGCCACTCACAAATCGATGAAGGAACACGGCAATCGAAAATTGATCAAAATAAACATAAGAATGCTGGATGTGAGACAGGTAGCAAGTCGCAGCAGCCGTGATTGGGACTGCTGATGACTTGGGTGGAAACACTGGATTCCTACCCAGCGTCTGGATGAAAGAGCTAAATCTTCCTTTAAAAATCGTAAAAGTACTAAAAGAAAACAAATAAGTAAACTACTGACACTATTTCGGGATGAGGAGGAATTGGCCAGGCATACTACCAAAAGCAGAAACCATGGATTTCTTTGCCAGGTGTAACACAAAAACAGAAAGATGGATAGATGTGACTTCATAAAAATTAAATATTTCTGCAGGCAAGAAAAAGCAAACAACAGGGAAAATTTATTTGCAACATATGACAAATAATAGAGTAATATCCTTAATGTGTAAAGGAAACATTCAAAGAAAAATGGGCAAAGAGCATAGGCACTTAATAAAAAAAATGGGCTTCAACAAAATTGTGTTCAACATCACTTATGACTAGAAGAAATTATTAGAAGAAAATTAGAAGATGCCATTTTTTTTTCCTATTAAATAGGCAAGAATTTAAAAGAATGGGCAAAGTGTGGGGAACCAGGTATTTTGTATAATCTGCTGAGGGGAGCGTCTCTTTGTCCAAACTCTCTAGAGGGCCATGATGTCTGAGAGCATGAAATTCAGAAATCAGAAAATATCAGAGGAAAGGAAAAATGGGTATCAAATGATTGCTATTATGTTGTTTTGACACATTTGTCAAATGTAAATTTTGCATTGTCCTCGACCCACTGATCTCCTCTTTAGAAATGTCTTCCAAGGAAATAATCTGTCCTATACACAAACACGTTTAAAGGATGGTTCTCCACTACACTGCTGTTCACAACAGTAAAAAACCAAGAATCACAGTTGGTATAACCATATAGTAGAATACTATGCAGCCATTAAAATTTTTGAAGATTTTGTTATTTACTGAAATGTAAGGATGGTTATCATGTATTAAAGGAAAAAGAGAATACTGAATAGGATATATAGTTTTAATTTAAAAATTGATATTTATATCTATCAGGCTACAAAGCTATTCAGCAAATTGTTACCATTAAGTATGTCCACCTGATGAAACTAAATCATTAGAGGTTTTCCTTTGTTTTGCTGTATGTTTAACAAGGAATATATTATTTGAATAATAAAAATACTGAAGGGAAACTTTAGGAAATTTCAGTAGATATTTTAGACAATTTACAAGAAGTAATTGATAATAGGGTCTGTATTTCCTTGAATGTATAATTTAAACACTTTAATATGTTTTAAATATAAATTTTACCTTTTATAAGTCTTTTAATAGAGTCCAACTGTGTGGTAAGTAGGATTTCTTCATATTTTAATATCTCAAATTTAACATCATATAGTTCTAATTGAACTTCATAAAATTGTATTTCTAGTTCATCTACAACATTTATATTTTTTTCTTGTTCCGGAAGATCTTCCATCTTGTTTTCATGAAAAAAATAAAAGCAAGATAAAGTATATAGTATATTAAAAGGAAACTTTAAAAGCATTTGAGCTATTTTCTATTCTCTGCTCAGTACCAAATATAGAGAAGCAAATCTAGAAGAATCTAGATTATATTATTTAATCTAGACTATATTATTTAATGAAACAAAAATGCCCCATTCAACATTTTTATAAATACTTTGCCTCCTCCTTGAAGCGTATGAAAACATTTAGGTTTTGAGGAAAATAAATGTCACTGAAGCCTTTATAGTGTTTTCTGCTTTAAAGTCTTAACAGCGCAGGAAAAAATTTAAGCGACTGTGATCCTAGAATGAAGAACCTCTGATTATACTAAAGTTCTGCTGAAAATAGCGCTTGGTTGATTTTACAGTATATCACCTACTTCGGTACTGAGCTCAATGCTAGTATCAAGTGAATCCTACAATATAGTACTGCAAAACCATCTTGAGCAAATGGAAACTTTACAGCCAATCTTCCCTGGTTGGGAAATTCTCCTCTACTAGCAGATGCGGTTGGAATAAGAAAGGGAGCTCTTCAACAATGGCTGGAAGGAACAGTGATATCTAAAATCAAAGTCTATTTCTAACACAAAGTCACCTGTATCCCGTCTTACCTTTCCCTGGATCTCAGCTCTTTTGCGATTTAAACACAACTCTTTGGCTCTCATGAGTTGCAGTGTCTCTCGCGCTAACATCAGCTTGAGTCTGTCTAACCTGGGAGCTGCTGTGGCCCAGGCAGCCTGGCCAAATCTCCTCTCATCCTGTTCCATTTGTTTCTGCATCCCTGTCGGATTATAAGGAATACAATACGGCTTAATGACAGCTCATTAAAAAGTGAAAAATTTATCCTGGGCTAATTATTTATTGCCTCTCACGTTACTGGCAAAACATCCCGTTTAAAAGAAAATTTATTTTAATGACTTTTTATCACACAAATAACACATGGTCGTTGATATAAAATTTTAGATGCCTGATTTTTTAAAAAAAGGAAAATAATCACGAATCTCACCTACTTGCAATTGCTTCTTACATTTTAGAATATATACTTCTAGACTATTTCTATGTCTAGCTAGACAGACAGGTTATATAGTTTGACCAAAAAACAAACCAACCAACCAACCCACAAGATCGTCAGTCTTCTTTATGGGGTGGGACAAATTAGAATTACAATTGTTCATATGGAAAATAATACAATAATTAATAAATAATAATACGAGAATAAACAGTTTCATATACTTACAACTGTAAACGTACTTTCTCCCCACCCCTGTATATCTTGTTTATTTCACTTTCTATATCATGGAACTCTTGTCATGTATAAAAATAGAGAATCATGCTTAGTAGCTGTGTGGTATTCTGTCCTATGCACGTACTATGATTTATCAAACTGGCTGACAGACAGTAAGTTTTCTCCTCTTTCGAACTGCCATTGACAATGATTTCAGATAAAACAAACATCCTTTACACAGCTCACAAGGCCGCGCATGGTCTCATCTTGTGGTCTTGCCAGCACACTTGGGCCACACTCTGTCCCAGCCCCGGGGCATTTTCAAAGTTCCTCACACTTGCCAAGCTTCCTCAAGTCAGAGGACCTTTGTCAGTGCTGTTCCTTCTGTCTGGAACACCGTTCCCTCACTTTTTTACTCTCTGAAGTTCCATTTACCCTTCAGATTCCAGGGCAACCACCACTTCTCAGAGACCCTCACTGACCACTCTGATGGAGCCTAATTTTTCTCTCAGGCTCTCCAAGCCCCATGCTGATTTTCGTTATGTGGTTTGTGGCCACTGCCACCTCCCCATGCATTTGCACGAACGTGTGGCTACGACGTACCTCCCCTGGCAGGCTGGACAGCGTCTGTTTATGCTGAATCCCCAAGACCTAGAGCCTGGTACTAAAAAGACACTCAAGTGTGTTGTAAATAAAATGAAAATTACACATGTCTTAGTGCAGCATTTTAAATTATTACCTGCTAATGCTTTTACTGTTTCTTTAAAATAATTCACCGTAATATCTTGAATAGAGACTATAGCGTCTTCAGCCTGTCGGGTCCACTCTTGGGCTTCCTTCTGCAGGGCCACTATCCTCTTAGGACCCAGGTCATCCTCCTCCAAGGATTTCTATGGAAAGAATGGAAAATTGAGGAAGTGGGAAAGGATAGTAACATGCAGCCATTAGGATACTGAAAGCAAATTGCTCACATGGATTATTTCAACGACTTTTATTGTTACCACTTAGTCACTAAAGTTTCCTGAATTCCTTACTGAGGCTCTTAAGTTGGGGACCACCTGGAAGACAAAGGGATACTGGGGCATAAATGGAGGAAAAAATAAGCTTATTCTAAGTAGTGTCACAGGGCTCAACGAAATAAGAGCGATGACAGCATCTACTGAAGTTTAAATTATTGAACTATAATCTGGGACCTTGCTACCTAAAGTTCCATCTTAATTCTGATAAATTTGCGTGTGTGTTTAGAGGCAGAAAATAAGCTAAAAAAGTATTGCATCAAAAACAAGTCATCAGCAAAGAATGTGCTTTGAAAAATCTTCAGAAATCTGAATGTATTAAGAAGATGATCCATGTAAAATGTCTTCATTTTTTATATCACTTTTAAAAAATAATATATATCAACTAATCATAACGGTGAACCTAACAGGCCAACACTGATTGAATCTTAAATGTGACTAAAGAAATAGTATTTGACCAATAGTAAATCAGATAAAGTAAAAACATAAAACATACCAAAATATCAAGCTTACATGAAGTTGCATATTCTCGCATATCTCTAAATGGCTGCAGTAAATACTGGAAGAACATGGTTGCCACGGTAACGAATTCCTGGTAGGCTTCATCTTCTTCTCGATAAACTTCCATTAATGCTACCATGGTGTTGGCTCTTTCACGCCCTTGAAGAATCTGGAAGGCACAAAATACATAAAGCTCAGGTATGGACAGTATTTGTAAGATCACACCAAATAAACGGAGCTAAGGAAAGCTTAATGTTTTAAAGTTCAATACATGGGGCTCGGGGGAAGCAGAGTTCAAAATTGTACATCAACTGTGTACAAACTACTCAGAGAAAAGGAACTGAAAGACTTATCAAATATAAATAGTGGTTATCTCTGGGTTGTAGACTGTGGATGATGTTTCTTCTTCACTTTTATTATGATAAAGTTGTGCGATGCACTTTTTAGAATCTGACGAGGACATTAGAGAGGCGCCTCCAAATGCTTCAGCGTGTAGGCTCACTCAGCTCCCCAGGTTCATAGAACTACCACGCCCCCAGCAAAGAAACTGATTTAGAGTCAAAACCGTGGCTCTCGTCTCTGCAAAGGTCGCCTTCTGATAACGGGGAAGAAAAACTACGCTCTAATTTAACACGTCCTCTCTCTATGGGCATCCCGCGCGCCTCGGCAGCATCCCCCTGGCTGCTCCCGGCAGGTGAAGCGCACCTGTGACCCTGCGCCCTGTTCTCCACGTCAGACCGTGAACTTGCTCCTCCGCGGCTCAGGTTTCGTGGAAGATCCCCATTCTCGCCCTGTCTCCCTCTGATGACCCAGAAACACTAAGTGGGGTCCCGCCGGCGTACCTGGCGCAGCCGCGCGTCCGCCTCGGCGAGCCGCGCGCGCAGGGCGCGCTCCCGGAAGGCGCGCGGACTCTCGCAGTCGGGCGCCCCGCCGTCGGCCGGAAACAGCGCCTCACGCACGGCCGCGCCGCCGCAGCCCTCGGCCGCCAGGCCCAGGTAGCGCTCCAGCCGCATGCACAGCTCCTGCATCTCTCCCTCGCCGAGGCTCGCGCGCGCCGGCCAGACGAGCTCCCACAGGCGCCAGGCGCCGCCGCCCGTCTCCAGCTCCTGTGGCAGCGAAGGGAAGCAGTGCTCCAGCGGCGGCCACAACGCCGCCAGCTGCCGGTGAGCGCCGCGGAGCCCGGCGGCCGAGAGCAGGCCGGCCCAGCTGGGCGGAGACCCCGGCCGGTTCCCCTCGCGCCGCCGCTGCCGCTGCGCCGTGCGGTCGTGACAGGTCACCGCGAACTTGCCCTCCGCGTCGTTCCAGGCCACGAGAAAGCGCAGCTGGTGCCGCTCGGGCTCGGCGAACAGGTCCTCGCGGACCGGCACCCAGCCCTCCAGGCTGTCGGGCTGCTCGTCCCCCATGGCGCCGGCGGTCAGCGGCCCGGCCTCTTCGTAGCCCCAGCCACGGGACCGTCCGGTCCGAGCCGCGACATTTTTCTCTTGACTGTCATCGCGTCCGTACCCCATCACCGCCCCTCCTGCACTTCTGATTGGCTGTGTGTGGCTGGGTGGCTTCCAGCGGCGTCTGGGATTGGCCGGATCCGAGTCGGCGATGGCCAATGAAAAGGCCAGGGGTCTCCCTGGAACCTGGCCCTCGGAGTCGATAAGTGACGCAATGCCCCTTGGAGCCCGGGAATTCCCACTCTGTGCCTCCCTTTGCCACCTTTGTACATACTGACGTGGAAAAGGTATTTGTCGCATGAACGAGTTATTGTAAATCCTTGGGAACCGGGCCCCACAAGATTCCGTCTTTTCCGTCAGAGCTGCAGTGAATTCATGGTTCCTCCTCTCAGGGAGGGTGCAGACTTCCTGGAGGGACGAAGCATTAAATTAAACACAAGAGTTCTTTATCGAGCGCCAAGCTCTGGGTGGCAGCCACCCATTTATTGTTATCAGTTCAACAGGCTTTCACGGAGGGTCTGCCGTGTGCCTGTTTGGGGGTGGGGCAGAGGAGGCGTCCAAAAAGACGCCTCTGTCTTCAAAGCATGTTTTAGGAAACCTATGTGCTGCCTCTTCACTTTAGAAATAAGGAAACTGAGACCCAGCGAAGAAACTTGTCGTAAGATACAGAGACACTCTGGCTGAGTAGGACCACCGGCTACTGAAGACCTGCTGAGATCCGGAAATGCAGTTTGCATTGAGGCTGGAGTGCGGGGTGAAGCTGGACCTGTTCATGCAGCAGGGACCACGGGCGCTGGCCTCTGCGCAGGGGTGTGCACCTGTCAGCCCCCACCCTGTGAGGGCGCTGAGAGGTCTAGAGGGAGGGGAGGCGGGGACGTGCCCAGGGAGCCCTCCCCCAAAACAAGGCCGGTGCGGGCTTGGTTGAGGACCCAGTGAAGCAGCTTTTGAAGGTTTTGAAGTAGGGCAGCCTGGAATCTGCTTTGCACTTGCTGTTATGCCCAAGGTGAACAACAGCAAAACCAAAAGGGGACCAGGCTGAAGCTGTGGTCAGGGCATGTCTCCCCCTGAGGACGATCTCAAGGCATCTAGGTCTAACGCTGCCACTCTGACGGTGCCCTGCCCGCTTTGATGCCTGGGTGGAACTGTGGTCCTTGGACTCAGACCTGCTGATCACACGGCCACCCGGTCCTCTTGGAGGGAGAACTTTTTGGCTGAAGGGATTTACTTTTCCCTCAAACGTGTTTTTAAACTTTTCATTTATTTATTTATTTTCAGAGAGAGGGGAAGGGAAGGAAAAGGAGAGGGAGGGAAACTTTGATGGCAACCGAGGCGTGTGCCCTGACTCGGGAGTAAGCTGGCGACCCTTCACTTTGCTGGATGACGCCCAGGAAACGGAGCCACGTGAGCCAGGGCTCAAACTGCTTTTTAGTGCATTACTTTAGCCAATATAGTTTACGTGTAATTCTTTAATAGCCTGTTTAAATATCTTTTAAAACATTTTTATAGTAGGTCTTTTTACTGCTTTTGTTTTATATTATTTTATCCTTTCTAGTAGTTTTTCTAACTGATTTGCTTTTTTGAAATGAAACTAGCAGACTTTCTAATGATAAAGTTTCTATTTTGTGTGTGTGACGGGGGATAAGTTTGTATATTCTTAGAAAAAAATATGGCCAAACACACATAAAACTTAATCATTGTTGTCACCAAGATGCACAACTAGTTTATACTCACTTTATGATTTTTTTGTAGTATTTGTTTATTTCTAAGCCAAATACCATACATTACTTTACAATAAAAAAGATTATTAAAAGTTAATAAAAGGTACATAAAGTTACTATGAAAATAGACACTATCAAAGTTATAAAGAAAAAATAATTCAAAAGAAATAAACACTTCTCATTTTATGTGTATGTATATAAATATACATACATATGTACATGATTATACTGTAATGATATTTTACATAACTTTTTCTTACAAATATGTTGTGGCCATTTTCCACATTTAAAAAATTGACATCTACATCATTATTAATACTTGCCAATAGTGAATTGACTATTGTGATATAGTTAATGAACTTCCCATGACAGGCATAGATTTATTTCAATTTTCTGCCGATATAGACAGTGTGGTGATAAACATTCTTGTACACACATCTTTGAAAAGTTTTCTCAAAAATTTTTTGTGGTCGATACTTTATTTTACCTCTAAATTTTTATTTCATAGATGCCCTGCAGTAATGGTATTTTAAAAATGAGATTTTGATTGGGGCCCCCAAAAGCAATAGATGTAAAATTCTGAGATCAAATCATAGGCAGACTTGTAAAGGAAATGGTCCAGGACCTAAGTAATGCTCTCAGCTAACTGCAGAAAATAAGGAATCTGAGTTAAGAGACTTGTGGAGCAGTTTCTCTGGAGAGCGCTGTTATTGGGCTGGGAGAAGAATTGGAAGTCCCCCTCTATCTCTAAGCTCAGTGAGGGGTCTTCAAAGGGACCCTTCAGGGAGCTGGCCGTCCTTCTTGCAGGTGGGCCAACAGCGGCCTGAGTCTGGAGGATGGGCGGCTGTGTCGGTGCATCAGCTGGGACCAAGGACAGGGCCTGCGTCCCACAATGCAGATGTGGGCCAGCAGGAAGCCAGAGCCAGCAAGGAGTCGCCTTGATCCTGCCCGGGGGAGCCAGCTGCATGGGTGAGGAGGCCTCATCTGAGGGACCTTGGAGGGGGCCCGTGAGGGCTTAGGCCTGGAATAGCGGGTTTCTCAGCCCGGCCGCGGGAACTGTAGGAGAAAGCTCTCCATAGTGGGGAACTCAGAGACGGTCCGAGGCTGCGGGGGAGATGGAGAGACTGAGAGCTCTAAGCACGGCCAGACCCACAGAGCCTGCAGCTACACCAGCTGACACCAGTTCACAGGGGAGCTGTCTTATCACCTTAGCACCTCTGCCTGGCCCCCAAGCCAGCAGCTCAGGGCGGAGGTATGGGGAAGAGGCCACCTCATTCCTCCTCCCCTGGGGCACACTTCCAGCTAGAGAAGCCCCAGCCGGGGAGGGCGAAGATCTTGATGCTGGCTGAACTCAGTGTGACTCTTGGATTATCGTATCAAATCGTATATTTAATTACTGAACGGAGTCTAGATCTTCAGCAGCCCCTAGGACTGTGTGACCTCCGGGGGAGCCGCAAGTCACGAGTCTGCTGGACTTGTGTCCAGAGTAGGGAATGAGTCCAATTTTAAGTAGATGTTACAGGAATTGTGGGAGGAAAAATTAAGTCGCATTTGATCACCTTTAGAGCTGTGCTTGCTTGAAAACGTTTTGGAAAAAGACCCTTAGCCCAGGCGGAAGGTGCACAGCACGTGGGCTTGCAGAGGTCCCCCTTCCCTGCGGGGCATGGCAGCCCCCCCGCCCCCGCCCTCGGTACGTGAACCGCCATCTGAGTCCCTCGGTGGAAACACAGGACTCAAATCTCCACAGGAAGCAGCAACTCAGGGGACATCACCTGACCTCTCGTGGTGACACTTGAGCAGACGTGGCAGGACAGCCTGAGCAGGTCTATATTTGGGCTGACACTCATCGCAGGCCTGTTGCTGTTTGCAGCCGGAGCCGGCTCGGGTTTCCGATGCCTTCGCCACCCCATCACAGCGCCCGGTGCAGCACGGGCCGGGGCGGCCACGGGCACCCAGAGGTCACCGGGAGGGAGAGCCTGCTGAACCAGGGTGCAGTTTTCTAGCAGTGACCCACGGCCTCAGCGGTAAAGGAAGAGTTTACGGACCCTTCAATGAGCAGGCAAGTTGTTGGTTAGTAATATTCTAATGCTAATTGTATCTCTGAAACCTGCTAACTTAATGCCATGCTGTTAATGCAGTACTTCCCCTTGTAGAGGAAGAGAGAGCATGGTACATTGCAGGTGTGTAAATTGCAATGGACAGAGTGAGTGCCGTCTGGTGGCGGGGATTCACTCACTGAATGCGGCGCTGGTACAGGCTGCGACAGCCTCGGGTGCCGGCGATTCTTGCCATGTGTCGGGGGTATTTTTAGTGCCGGGGCCTGTCCGCTAGAACGGTGTGGAACCCTAAGTGTGCACGCTGACAACGTGGAATTCTGCGCTTCGACTCCAGCACTGGAAGACAGCCTTGTCATCGTTTTTGCTCTTGTGTGATGGTACAGCTAACACCTTCGAGCAGGTCTCTGTAGCTGCGGCTCAGGAATTGCTTGTGGGTATATGGCAGAGCTCCTACAGTGATATGCAAAATTCGGGGAGAGAATGCACAGCTTTTAGTGGATTCTCAGAGGTGTCTATGACCCATAAAAGTTTAAAACACATTTTGGAGGGGACTTGTCTAATTAAAGCACAGGGACACACCTCCCATATGACACTTGCAAACGTCTTTTTTATTTTTAACTGTGGCTTGTGGCACAGAGTAGAAGCTATCTAGCGAATACATTCATTGTAGACTGTGATTTATTACTCCATCTCCCTAAGCCTCAGTTTCATCATTTATAAAATGACAATTTATTATTGATGTTCCTTTTCTCCCCATCTCTGAATATTTTGTTAAGCTATTTGGATATAAAAGTCAGGGCTAGTGGAAAAAGGTGCTAACCTGCATCTCAAAAGCTAGTCTTGTTTTTTTTTTTCCTTAAAACCTATTTCGTATGTGTCACCTTCGAATAGTTTAATATTTGTTTTTAAAGCATTAGGTTACCACAGTTTTTTGAAAAAGGGCCCTAGGAACTAGATTGTGATAATGGTTATATAACTTGGGATGTTTACTAAAAATTATTGAATTGTGCATGTAAAACAAGTGAATTTTATGATATGTAAATTATATTTCAATAAAGTTAGTTTTTAAAAGATACTAGGGAATACCATACGCAGCTCACATGGTCCCTAGTCTTATGTAGGTGTATGTGGTTGGTAAAGTATTTGCCCAGGTTAATTAGTGTGGTACAGTGATTCTGTTCATGACTTGTGCAGGTAAATGGGAAAAAACCCTGCTTCTCTAAACAAAAAGCGTCTTCCTTTTTGTGCATGGATCGGTAGTCTTCAAACTTTGCTTGTGAACAGCACCCTTAGAACATTTATGTTAACTAAAAATCCTCCAAGAGGAAGCAAACTTTTCTTTACACTTCTGTGGTCCAAAGTGTAACCACAACTGAGCTGCTCAGAGGATTTTTTTTTAAGATTGTGAATGAGTTGAGCCCAATCTGATGACCATCTCCTGCAGTGACCTCAGAAATGGAGTTTTTCCCCTTTCTGTGTTCTAGGGCCCAGGATATCCACTGTTAACCGTCCCAGGAGGGACCCACCCAGTGCAGAGGCGCTGCCCAGGGCTTCCCGAGCCACAGCGCAGCAGGAAGCTGGGAGGGGCCGGAGCTGGGCAGGCCCCCGGAGGGCTTCCACTTTTACCCCATGGATCTGTACGACTCCGGAGACAGGCTGCAGATCTTCCCGGAAGACAGCAGTCGGATGGGAAGAGAAGCTATCCAAGCTGAGATGAGCAGTGAGCCAAGAGGGGCGGCAAAGGGTAAGCCTCACAGAGACCTTGAAGAGGAAGTGGATGAACTTGTCCATTTATATGGACTTGAAGATGATGACGAATTAGGGGACGAGTTTGTTAACGAAAACATGCCCAGAATAGAGGTTTCGGAATATCCTCCTCACGTGATGATGCAGAGAGAACCAGCCGTGCAGCAGAGAGACTGGAGGCTTCGTGGGGAGGCAGCGGAGGCTGACGACCTGGGCTTCGGAGGGTGGGGCTCCGCGGGCCCGTGCGAGGACCTGCGGGAGGCCTACAGGTACACGCACGGCCGTGCCAGCGAGGAGTACGAGTGCTACGTCATCCCAGAGGAGGAGGACGAAGAGGAGGCTGCTGACGTCTTCTGCGCCACTTGCAAAACTCCCCTGAGAGCACTGGAGAAGGCTCTGGATGAACACAGAGAGCATGAGGTGATCCCGCTCAGTAAAGCCCTGGAAAGCGCCAAGGTAAGCAGGTCTCAGCTCTCCTTCCTCTTGATATTGTAGCCACACCCCAGGAAATTAGGCAGGGAGTAACCCTCAAACGCCTGGTGCGAGAGAGAGAGAAAGGACGTAGCATTGACATCTGGCGGTCCTCTCCTTGACAGGATGAAGTTCACAGAAACATGTACAAGTTAGAAAAGCAGATTATCGAGATGGAGAACTTTGCCAGTCACTTAGAGGAGGTTTTCATCGCTGTGGAGGTAAGAGCACGTGCGTGAGCCTGTCAGGGACCCGCTGCTTCCCCCGTCATCGTGACTGTTGTCCCTCCCCAGCCCTGTCCCCTACCTCGTGGAACCGACGACTGGCCGCGTCTGCGGCAGGGCGGGAAGCTCTCAGTGCGGAGGCTGTGTCTTCTGGGCCTTTCTGTCCCCAGTCCCACTACGAGGCGAGGCTCTTCCGTGGGCCGCCCTGGACAAGGCTTTGCAAGACCCCCACCCTCGCATTGACGAGTGTTCCTTTCCCCAGTTGTTACCTGTTTCTCATAAGACTAGGTTTCCGCGTCTGTCCTCAGACGCACCATGGACCCCGGGTGTGCCCAGTAGGCATGCAGTGTGGCACTGCGGTGCCGGCCCAGTGGGCGGGCCTGGCCCGAGGACCTGGGCACTGCCCTCCCCGCCTCCCTTCCGGGGGACGCCGTCCGTCTGTTAATGCCGCCCTCGACTGACCAACAGGGGCACCGTGTGTGAATTAACAAAGCCCCAGGTCCCTTTCCTGGATGCTGGACCTTCCTCACCCCTAATCTTTACAGGGAGGAGGACCATTGCACTGATCCCTCAGGAGGGCACAGAGCAGGGACCAGCCCTCGCCTCATGAGCACGGGGTGCAGGTTGGAAGGGGGAGAGCCCAGCAGGGGTACAGGGCTCCCTCCACTCCGCACGGCCTGCTCGCTCTCAGGGCAACGAGCTCCGCCCTGTGCACTCAGCACGGGGGAGGCAGCTCCTGCTCTCCCCTCTCCCACCCTTCGGAGCAGGTCTTACACACACAGTAGGCGCTCAGGAAACACCCCCTGAGTGATGGATCCTCTTCTTTGGAAATGTCCCTGTCATCGGATGAGGATGGCAGCCACCAGAACCCGCAGAGCTGTTGTCCTGGGGGCCAGGAGTTGAGAGGCCCTCGTCAGTATTTCTCCCCCATTCTGCCCCGGGATAAGATCCGTCCCAACCCTCCCTCTGTTCCCTGCCTTTGCTCACCTGGCAGCGCTGTCCGGCCACACCCCTCCTTCCCCTTCCCTTCGTCTTTCTCTGACTTGCTATGAAGACCAGTGCAGTCCTGGTATTTGTACAATGCTGTCCAAGCATCAGGGAGGAGAGGAGGGGGGTCATGGGACGTTGAGAGCTCAGGCGGGACTCTCCCGGGGCAGACGTGTCCCCGGTAGGGCCCCAGGTTCCGGTGCAGGCTGGCTCATCACGGATGGTCCAAGCCTTGGTTGGTTGTCGTGGTGACGGGAGGATGGCGAATATGGAGGTGGTTTAAGGGTGAGGAGCAGCGTGGAACATGTGGCCAGGGCAGAGAGCAGGGCTCTCTGCAAGGATTATCCCGAGGGCTCTAGCTGGAGACTCCTGTGCCAGCGCCCCCTGCCTCCGCCCCAGCGCCCAGGCGAGAGATGGCGGGGAGGGACTGAGGCATCTCTGGGTGGGCGCATTTTCACGCCCCGATGACTCTGGCTGACGTACCCCACACACTGGCAGGGCGACTGAGGGCTGCTGTCTTGCAGGAGAATTTTGGAAGACAAGAACAAAACTTCGAGTCCCATTACAACGAGATCTTGGAAACACTTGCTCAAAAGTACGAAGAGAAAATACGAGCTCTAGGGGAGAGAAAGAAAGAGAAGCTGGAAGCCTTGTATGAGCAGCTGGTCAGCTGTGGCGAAAACCTGGACACTTGCAAAGAACTGATGGAGACAGTGGAGGAGATATGTCACGAAGAAAAGGTGGACTTCGTCAAGGTCAGTCAGGGCGCAGCAGGCAGGAGCGACCTGGGGCGACAGGGCCGCAGCGGGCCGGCGCGTCCGTCTGGTTCCTCCGGGTGTTCGTGACGGTGGGGCTGTCGCCCACGGGCGGCCGGGCGGGCTCACGCACAGCTGACCCCGTCCCTCCACTGGGGCTCAGGTGGTCCCGGGGTCTGTTCCTCAGTCCTGGTTGCCAGGGACCCGTCCCCTGTCCCCTCTTCCTGGAGCTCAGTAAAGGCAGGGCCCCGAGTTTCCTGGCCACCTCACAGGGCCTCCCGTAATTCTGGGAGAAGGCTGTCCAGCTTAAAAAGTCACCTCCAGTCTCCTGCACACAAGATTTTAAATCTTACTTCATAAACTTCAACATGCTAAAAAAAAAAAAAAAAAATAGCCACTCTTAATTTCCTTGAAATCTAATGAAATCTGCCACCAGGCCCCCTGCAGCTGGGCAGTGGGGATTTTGGTCTCCCGGCGTGGTCCCCGCTCTTCCCAAGGCCCCGCAGGAAGAGGGGCCCTTGTGGTGTCCAGCATGTGTGGGAGGGGCCTCAGCCTCGAGCTTCCTGTGTGTCCCATGGGGCCGCCACGGTGACCGAGCCCTTCCTGCTCCCTCGGAGCCCACAGCACCTCCTTCCAGCCGTGCTGGGGGCGAGGGACCCGGGGCTAAGGCTGCAAAGCAGTTGGCAGGCCCCCTGGAGCCCTCGATGTTCAGGCCTTTCGAACCAGCATCTCTCGTCCCACGATCCCACTGGATCGCGGGGCGTCACCCAGAAGGCGGGGAGAGTGATGTGCGCAAAGGGGGCCTCCTCGCTGTTACGACGGCGAGAAGCTGGAGGCACCCAGGATGTCCAGCAGGAGAAGGACAAGGTGGGGCAGACGATGGCGTTCGCATCCAGGGAACTGTTGCGCGCCCATCACGTTGATGCTGCAAAGGCCGTTTGTAACGGGGAAAGTGCTTGTGTGATATGAATGAGGAAAAGTCTTAGAGAAGGAACGGCACTGGCCTCGTTAGTTTTGTTACAGGGTGGGGCGTGGCTTATTTTTTTCTTTTTTACCACTTTCCAGGTTTTTAAAATATGCTTACCATGTTGTATAGTTTTAAAAAATTATTTCTGAAGTGAATTTCACGTTGTCTCCTTTCCTCCTCCTCTTCAGGATGCCATGGCTATGGCCGACAGGTAATACGTTGTTCTCATCTCTATTTTCTTCTGGCCCTTCGCCTCTGGGAATCCAAGGAGACTCAGTGCCCCCTGGCCGTGTGCTCCCACTTTCAGCTTTGGTGTGGGACCTCAGACTGAGTGGCCCTGGCTCCCGGACAATGGTGTGGGGCCGCAGGACCCTCTGGGCCCGAATCTCAGGCTCTCAGGGCTGGACGGGGGCCTGTGGTGAGCCCCGCCAGCAAGCCCATGGGCAGAGCTCCACCAGGAGCCCCTCGTTTCTCCAAGAGGCGCTGAGACCCAAAGAGTCTCCCCAGTGTCCCCCAACTGTGCCAGGACGTAGACTGAGGGCTGCAGAAAGCACACACGTCATAGAGTCAGACAGGAGTCCAGTCCTGCTGCCCCATGGCCTTGGGTGTCCAACCAGCCCGGGACCCGCCGTGCTTACCTACAGACAGAGACGCTTTTGTGGGGTTAAATAATACAGTGTCTGACAAGCAGCATGGACACTGACACTTCAGTATGTGACAGTGAAGCACGTGGGCACTGGCAACAGACAGACCTGCCAGCACCCGCGTCTCAGGCCCTGCCCCCACCGCTGTGAGCCTGTGACTGCCAGGAAGCAGGTGCAGGGAGGCCCAGAGCCCTGCTCCCCGGTCAACAAGCCGATTCCCCAGGGCGTCCGTGCACACTGGGCCTGGGGTGGTGTCCGTGGGGGGGACTTCCAGAGGCTGTGGATCGGAGCTGGGCGGGCACGCGTCTCCACCCCCAACCCCCTCCGATGCACAGATCAGCCCCTCCCTTTCCCACTGGCTACCCCTGCGTCAGTCACGGAGCGGCAGAGCTGCCTCGTGTGCGGCCAGCGGCCCAGCGCAGCCCGGACCAGAGCGGGCGCCACTCCGTTCTCATCAGCGTGCCTTTTTGCGCCGGCAGACTCAGAGAGTTCCTGCAGACAGAAACCGACGCGGACATCTCCGCGCAGCCCGCCTTGGAAGACCAGACCTTGGACTTCTCGGACGTGGAGCAGCTGCTGGGCTCCATCAACGCCATCCCAGGTGCTCCTCGGCCCCGGGTGCGGATGTCCCAGCATGTCCCTGTCACCCTGGGCTCTGAGGGAGACACTTGGGTGGCTAGAAAAATCGTGACGATCTAGGAACAAGTATTTTTCCCCCCTCCCTTCATGTTTTGGTCTTTATGGCTAGTAAGGGTGAAGACAGAGGCCGGCTTCCCAGGTAAGCGGCCGTTCACACTCTCCAGGGTGCGAGTGCCTGGCTCAGGGAAGCCCTGGGCAGTTTTCAGCTTTCGTAGCTCGTCCCTCCTCCTGGGCACCTGCTGTCCTGTCTAATTTGCGCCAAACTAGGAGCCTGAATTTTATTTCCTTACCCAGCACAGTGGTTAAGAGATGAGCTTGGGAGTCCGGTGGAGTTGGTGAGAATCCCAACTTCTGAGCTCTGTCACCCTAGACAACATACTTAACCTCTCTGAGCCTTGGTTTCCTGGTCTATAAAATGGACGTGATGATTCCTCGTGGGGACAGGGTGGGAATTAAAGGAGGCTCTGTGCACACAGCACGTCACACAGTGCCGGTGGTGCTCAGGAGTGTTACCGCGGTGACGTTCGCCAGAGAGTAATACTAGAATTCAGCTTTTTTGGCTGGCTCGCCTTCCCTTATCAACACCCAGCAACATTGTGAACAACGTTGTGTATATACTTTTAGTTTTTTCTTTTATGCAGATTTATCTTTTAAAGATACATACCTATGGACTTACTCATCTTTGTAATCTGCTTTTTTTTTTTTAGCAAAACAATGATCATGCATATATTCTCATAGTGATCAATTTTCCCACAACATGGTTTTTAAAAGTCACGTTTATTTAATCCTCAACCGTTGGACGTCTCTAGGTTTCTCGCCCCCTAAACCACCCCGGAACGCCTGTCCTCAGTCATGAATCTCGGGGGCCGCCGTCGACCCCCGGGGGGCAGCAGGGCCGGCATCCTGGCTCCCCAGCCCCTTTGGACGGTTCGGGAGGGTCAGAGGAGCCACACCTGGGGTGGGACTCGCAACCTGTGCGCCAACCTGAGTCCCTGCCACCGACCCTCCTCTCCAGGCTCATGTGGCTTTGCCAACGCAGAAGGGACGCGCGGGCAGTGGCCTGCAGGCCCCCGTCCTTGTCTGCTCGGGGCAGCTCGTCCATTTCCCACGCCCGGGGACGCACTGCGGGGGTCAGTGCCCCTGACGGAGGGGCCGTCCCCACCCCTTAGATCGACGTAAGCCCCCTCATGGGTGTGGGCCTTCCTCCCTTCTCCTTTTCCAGCTCCCTCTGCCCCCGTGATAAACCCGCAGGCCCCCAACTCTGCCACGGGCTCCTCGGTCCGCGTGTGCTGGAGCTTATACTCCGACGACACTGTGGAGAGCTACCAGCTGTCCTGCCGGCCCGTGCGGGACGGCCCTCCTGGGAAGGGCCAGGCAGGTGAGGCTCTCCCGGACACACGGTCGCGCCCCAGAGCAGCGAAGGCCCTCAGAGGCCGTGGGGGTGGGGGAGTGGGGGTGGGGTGCCGCTGCCCCCAGCACCTTGGAGGGCAGTTCCCTCGTCTGGGAGCTGCCCAGCGGACGTGCTGCCGGCAGGTGAGCGAGGCAGAGAGGGCTAGAAGGCAGGCTGGGGCCTGGCTGGGGAACGTGGGTGGCTGGGTCCTCTGTGGTGGGGTCTCAGCCTCCGGGAGGCGGCTCGGGCTGGGTCACGGGAACAGCTGTGCACCTGTGCTTCCCAGGCCTCAGGCGGCGGCGTGCTCGCTCCTCTCCCGTTGGCCAAGGCCAGCCGCACGGCAGAGGGCGTGTGGCCTGGGAGGGGAGGAGTCCGTGGCCTGCCTTGTGACCTTGGGACTCAGCACGAGACGCATCAGGAACTCCTGGGCCTATTTTTGGGTTGAAGTCTTCTTTTTTTCTTTCCGTAGAGTTTACAATGACCGTCAAAGAAACATACTGCTCAGTGAGAAACCTTGTGCCAAACACCCAGTATGAATTTTGGGTCACAGCGCAGAACAGGGCCGGTGTCAGCCCCACCAGTGAGCGCGTGGTGTACATGACAGGTAGCGGCGCCGCTCGCTCCGCAGTGGGGGTGTCCTCCCCGGGCGCCGCAGGGCGTCGGCTCTCTTCACGGGGCAGGGGTCTTGGTTCCCTTTGTGTGGACAGATGCTAGCTGTGTGTTTTGTTTTCTTTTATTTAATACACCAAATCCACAGGCCTGATACGGCCGGGACATTTTCTCGCAGGTGGTCTCAAAGTGTCAAAGACCACTGCTGCCGGCCGCAGGACCGTTTGAACCTTGCAGCCCCCCCTCCGCGCCGGGCACCCCTGCCAGGCACCCCCGGCGCCCTGGCCTGTGCGGCTGCCATAGCAGGACACGGCAGGCTGGGCGGCTTATGCACAGCGGGCCTGCGTCCCCAGTTCTGGAGGGCGGGCGGTCCTGGGGGCCCGCAGATTGCGTGTCGGGGGAAGGCCCAGCCTGGTCCACAGGCAGCTGCCTCCCTGCCGGGCCCTCCGTGGACGGAAGGGGCACAGGGGCTTTTTGGTTCTCTTTTATACTAAACCCCCTCCACCCCCATGGCCCCGTCACCCCCCAGCGACTCCACATGCCATGAGTTGGGGACGACGTTTCAACATAGGAGTTTGGGGGCCACGCGCAGTCAGTCTGTGGCACGTGGTTTGCTGCTTGTGCCCTGGATGTCTTTTGTGGGAAGGGGGGTGATGTCCGAGCTCTGGACAAGATGGCTGTTGTGACCAGCGGGGCTCTCCTCTCCCTCCCCCCCGGCGTTTAGCACCTTCTCCCCCCGTCATAAAGAGCAGAGAGGTGAGGAGCTGCGAGGAGGCCGCACTGATCTGCTGGGAGTCGGGGAACCTGGACCCCGTGGACTCGTACACGGTGGAGCTGACCCAGGCAGAGGCGCCAGGGGCCTCGGGCGTGACTGAGTGAGTCATGGGGCTGCTTGCCCGGCTCGGGAGGCCTTCCCCCGACACGGAGACACCGCTCAGGGAGCGTGTGGCGCCTGCGAGGCGGTCAGAATTTGTGACCCACAGGCGCCCACATTTCAGGTTGCTTAGTTTCCGTGAGAAGTAGCGGAAACGCGACCACGAAGGTGAATGATGAGCGAGTATGTGCTGAACCCTCCGGGTGGCCTTTTCATCCTAAAGGGCCGCCACCCACTCACGCAACGAGAACTGAGCGCCAGGGGGCCCCAGGGCCTGCGCTGGGCTCTGGGAACGGGACAGCCGTGAGGCAGGGGTGCCCTCATGGAGGCTGCAGTCGGGGGCGGGGGGGGGGCGCGGACAGACAAGAAACAAGAAAACAGACAAACGCATGAAACGTTCTCTGAAGGAAAAATAAGTGTCGTGGAACGGGAATGGTGATGGAGGGGGGAAACCCGCCAGGGCAGAGCAGGCGGGTAAACTGAGTCAGGACGGGCGGGAAGCGGGGAGGCCGGGGCACAGAGGGTGCGGGGACGCTCCTGGGCGAGGTGGCCGGGTTGAGGGGGGGACAGGGGACGGAAACCCACCCTGCTGGAGTTGGGGGCGGGGGGAATGGCCTGCAACGGAAACAGCAGCCCTGGGTGCACAGAGACGCTCGCGTCTGCGGGGGCGGCGGTTGGGAGGGCCACCTGCTGCGGGGCCCGCGGTGACTGCGGCTCTGCCCCGTCCAGGTCGGTCGTGGGCATCCCCTCCTGCGAGTCGCTGGTGCAGCTGCAGCCCCGGCAGAGCTACACCATCTACGTGCGCGCCCTCAACGTGGGGGGCCCCAGCGCGAGGAGCGAGCCCGCCACGGTCCACACCACAGGTCTGCGCCCCAGGCCCCGCACCCGCTGGGGCCCACAGGGGCCCCTTCGTGGCAGACCCAGTGCAGCTAAGACGGGAAGACAAACCCACACTCATAGATGGGGGCGCATGGCAAGTCAGGCTGGAAAGGGGCCCGGTGGTCAAAGCCCTGCGGCCTCATTTTACAGGCGGCCGGGGCGGGGTGGCCGGGGCCTGAGGCGCGCGGCAGTTTGCCTGAGCAAGCGTTAGGACTCGGGGTTCTTCTCCATGCCCCTCGGGTGGAGGAGGGGCTCGTCCCGCTGCGCCCGGGGGCCTGGTCCCCTCCTATCCCACACAGCCTGATACCACCCTGGGCGGTGTCCTTATGAAGTTGCGGGCAGAGCCGTCCCTGGCTCTGGCGTCCTCACTCCTGCCCTCAGCCCAAGCACCGCCCCACCCGCAGGCCCAACCTCCACCGGCCACCCACCTCCTCCCAGGCCCTGTGGCCCCGCCCCGCCCCCTTCTCAGGTGCCATCGTGTCATCACCTTGTCCCGTTTCACGTCCAAGTCTTGAGTCAGCGGGGGCATCACTAGAAACATCTGTCCCTGTCCCGCTGTCCCTGCACGGCTATGGCTCTGGCTTCTGAGCCTTTGCCAGCTGGTTTCTCAGGCCCCCTCGCCTGTTCTCATATCCACAGATGGAAATACCACCAACCGTTTCCAGGGGCAATTGTGGGATTGAATGAGATACGACCGGCCAACGGCCCAGCCGCGGTGCACGGCCGCCCCGTTAGCGGGAGGCTTACGCTGCGAGCTCCGGCCTGAGGTGTACAGTTCGGGGTACGAGGCCGGGACGTGCAGTGCTGCCTGTGCCGCTGTGGCGGCGGCGCCGCGAGGAGCGCCTGGCCGCTGACCGCCCGGGGTTTGCTCCCCTGCAGGCAGCTACTTCCGCCTGAACGAGCACTCCTGCCACCCCTGGCTGACCGTGTCCGAAGATGGGCTGACCGTGGTGCGGAGCGAGAGGCAAGCCCCCGCGCGGGCGCCCCCGCCCAGCACCGCCCGCTTCACCAGGTAGGGGCTGTAGCCACCGCTCGACGGAACATTCTCGAACCGCCCTCATAGATGCTAACACTCAGGTAAAACTGGATTGTGACAGCTGCAGCCTGGACGGGGCGAAGCGATCTCAAAAGTAAATGAGGGGAGCAGGGGCCTGCTGGTGAGGGGAGACTGGCGTGGACAGAGAGACCCGCTGTGGCCACTGAGGCCCAGCCGTGGCAGGAGGGCCACACTGTCGGGCCTAGCGGGGAAGAAGCGGGGCCGCGGTCTCCAGATGCTCGGCCCAGGGCTGTTCCTCACTCACAGGGAAACCTGGTTAAATGCTCCCGGTGAAGAGCTGGCTGCGCCCCAGGCCCAGGCAGGGTTGCCGGGGGGAGGGGCGGGGGTGATTGTGCTCTGTGTGGCGTGAGCAGGGCGGCCACCAGAGGTGGCTCTGTCTAGAGCCAGGGGTGTCCACGTGTGGCCCGCGGCCTGCATGCGGCTCAGGATGGCGGTGCAGGCGGCCCGACACAAAATCGTAAACCTACTTAAAATGTGATGAGATTTTTCTGTGTGTGATTATGTGTCACAATGTATTTAACGTGTGGCCCAAGACAGCGCTTCTCCTTCCAGAGTGGCCCATGGATGCCAGGAGGCTGGGCGGCCCTGGCAGAGCCATTTCTAGAGCTTGCTCTCAGCTGCTGTTGAAACGACTGATTGAGTTATACCTTACTTCTTTCCAAAGACTTGAAGAAGGCTTACAGGAAGGGGCCACGTACACCAGTGAAATAGAAAAACCAAAGCTTGGGAGAGAATGAAGGACACAGGTTAACTTCCGGGCTAAGTTCCTTTCCGTGATTAAACATGAAATAGTTCTCAGCTTCCCGGTAGTCATGGCAAAAAGAGGTCTCGGTGGGTTGGTTTTAGGGCCGGGAGGATCTTCCTTGGAAGAACAGTGGCTCCCCGTGGGGGCCGGCAGGGCCACGGATGGAAGACTGCGGCCTCCCTGCCTGGGTTCTGGCCACCGCCAGCAGCTGCCTTTGCCTCTGGCCTTTTTACTGTGCACGTGTTAGGCACCTACTGTATATGTCAGTGTGAGGTAGAACCGCACATGGTAGAGAACCACCTCATCCTTTCCTGCCTCTGCCCATTCAGCCCAGGGTTGGGGGCATGAGGAGGGGTAAGAAGCAATAAAGGTCTTGCCTGTGTTTAAAAGCAGAATTCAACTGAAATTTTAAAGATTTTACCGGCTTTATTCAACGATTCGTGAATCAGGCAGCACCCCATCTAAAAGGTAGAAAGGGGCCGTGTGGAGCTAGGCAAAATGAAAGACTTTGGGGTTCACTTGTCTCTTGAGTTCTAGGAGGTTTCAGTCCCTTTATTTTTTATGAACAAGTGAAGCAAACCATTGGTTTTGTTACTAAAAAGCCCAATTTTAAAAAGCAAACAGAGCCTGTTCTGTGGGTTTGCCTCCTCTTCCGTTACCAGCAGTAAAGTAACCTCATCTCCTGCGTCAGCCAGGCAAGAGCTCAAGGGGTGCCCCTTTGCAGGCGAGGTGCTCACACCTCCCGCCCCCCAGCCCGTGCAGATCCCCTGCCGACTCACAGCGGTCGGCGTCCCTCACCGGCACAGCCCGGCACGGGTCACCTCGAATCACACGTGGTTCCCCTTTCCAAAACCAGGTGTGTGGCCGTCATGGGGAACCTAGTTCCAGTCCGAGGGCGCCACTACTGGGAGGTGGAGGTGGACGAGCGTTTGGACTACACGGTGGGTGTGGCCTTTGAAGACGTCCCCAAAGAGGAAGACCTGGGAGCCAACGGCCGGTCCTGGTGCATGCGGCACACGTGGGCGCCACCGAGGTAATGGGCAGCCAGGCCCACAGTCGCTTCTGAGAGAATAGAGGCAGAGGTTTCCACCAGCAGCCGCGAAGGCTGCCCGTGTGTGGGCTGGTTAGAAAATGCTGTAAGGCATTTCAGGACTCGCTCCCAGCCCCTCCCCCGGAGGTCCGGCCGAGGAGGGGAAGAGCCGCGTCGGGTGGGCCGGCCGCGCTGACCCGGCCAGGCTGCGCTTCGGGCGTTCGCGCCAGTCGTGGGGGCAGCGTGTAGCCTCACACAGCGCTTCAGACATCTGTAGGTAGCAGGTGGGCGCTCCTGTGGTTGCTTTGGTTTCAGCCGTTTCTCAGAGCACAGGACAGCTCGCGGTGAGAGGTGCTGGAGCCGTGAGACACTGACCCCCAGGGTGCCCTGCTGTTGAAGGTTTAAGGACTGGGTGCCTCAGAGGCCCTGTGCACAGACGACGCCATAAGGCCCGTTACATGAGAGACTAGGACACCCGCTGTGTGAAATCCCTGTATTGCAAAGGATTTTGAACCTCAAAATCCAAAATTTTAAAACATGTGCTATGTCAACACTGATTTGAATGCAGTGAGTTTATAATGCTGTATGTAGATTTCTTAGGTTAAGAAGGTGCTCAGAAACAAAGCTTAAAAACAGACATTTCTTAGGACAAATTTTAGAAAAAAGCTATAGTTACAGAAATGGCCTGTTACTTTGGTAGTCATTAATAAAAGGAAATGACACAATCATAGAAGTACTTGAATACAGCTATATACAGTGTTCTATAAATAGCCCATCTACAGAATTTCTGAAGATTTGTTATGTCAACATTTAATTTCCAGGCATAAGTATGAATTTCTACACAACAAGATGACTCCAGATATAAGAATAACAGTTTCCCCAAAGAAGATTGGCATTCTGTTAGACTATGAAAATTCAAAATTATCATTTTTCAACGTGGACATTTCTCAGCATCTGTACACATTTAGCTGTCAGCTCCACCAATTCGTGCATCCCTGTTTTTCTTTGGAAAAGCCTGGGTGTCTAAAGATACACAATGGCATTTCAATGCCAAAGCACGTCACTTTCTACTAGACCACTCTATCGCCCAGCTCCGTCTGTCTGTCTTCTGCACCCGCCCCTCAGGCACTCACAACCCCCTCCCCATTCAAGCACTGTGCACCGAGCACAGCGATGGCTCACGCTGCTACCTGGCCGACTGTGTGCTGGCACTCACTGCCCCTGGCCTGGGTTTTGTCCTCTGCGGGGACACCTGTGTGATGGTCACTCACGACCAGGCCTGGCTGCGAGAGGACGGCTCAGATTGAATGAACTCAGAGATTCTGCAGCGCGTCAAATTGTGTTGGGTCTATTTGTGTACATGCAACGTATCCGAGTCTCCAAGGCTGACAGAGCTTGGGGGAGGGGACGGGGAAGACACGCCTAAGTGTCAGTGGCCGCGGCAGCCCCAGCATGCCCGTGACGTTTCGTTAGCCAGCCAAGGGCAGGCCTGAGAAGGCAGGCTGTCCCGAGAACCGAAGCCCTGTGGGCCCCCTCCTGCCCCCCCAGGGGTCAGCAGCGCTGCGATGTGGTTCTTCCTAGCGTACCCTTTGTGGAACACCCTGTTCCTCCTTCAGAGCACTTGCCCCATTCTAATTTTGAAACAACCTCTATGCCTAATTCCATGAAGGCAGGGACGGTGTCTCCTCTTCCTTGCTCCATCCCCAAGGCCTAGCACAGAAGGGCGCACCGCGTATCTCTTGAATAAACGAGTGTTTTGTTCACCCAGCCACAGCTCTTTGGCCTCTCTGCTCTGCATGGGAGGGGCAGCCCTGCAGGCGGAGAGCCTGGCGGGGAGGCAGTGAGGGCGGGGGAGGCGGGAGGGCCCTTGCAGCTCGAGGGCAGGATGGGGAAGATGGGACACAGGGGCCCACACACTTCCTCGTGTCACACAGCCGCCCACACATGCATGTGGTGCTTTCACTGTGCATATTTGGTGGATAGATGGGGAAAACCAGAAAACGAGTTGTACCTGATTCTAGGAATGTCCCCTAAGGTAGAGAATCAGGTTTGAAATCAAGACCTAGGTTTGACTGCTACTTTGTAGTTACCTGCCCTGAGAAAGTCACTATCTTCCACAGCTTCCCTGTTCCTTTAAACAAAGAGAAGAGTTTGTTCTTGTCTCATAGGATTGGGTGGTTTCATGACAGATGTGAGTGGGCATAGCAAATGTACAATTTCATAAAAGAGAACATCAGCCCACCAAAGTGCAAAGCTGAGCCCGGCAGCAGACATGGTCCCAGCCCGCGGCTCTGGGGCAGCCGCCTCGCTGCTCTCAGGCCGTTCTGTGACCTCAGTGCCCGGCCCCGCGGGCTGCGTTCCTGCCTCTGTTCAGGCTTCCAGTCGCCCCTGAAAGCCCTGCACACACAGCGTTTTCAAGCTTGTGAGCCCAGGCGCAGAGTAACTGACTCCATTTGTGAAGCAGTTCCCAGAGGCAGTGTAGTATCGTGCCCTGTGGACGCCTCTCCGAACGACAGCCCCTCAGCTCATCACGTAAGGTTTTGTGTTACCTGAAAAATATTCCACTGTGAAACTTCCACGTTTTCCAGCACACTCATAAAGTGTGACGCAGTGAACGCCTCTCATCTCCTGTCTCCAAAATGCCTCGTTATAAGCAGCAGTTCTGGTTCCTGAATTAACAACTCACCTTGACAATCTCACAGCTCATTGCACGCGTGCACACGTGCACGCCCGCCGGCCCTGCCACGCTGGGTCACTACCCTGAGACACGGAAGGTACAGCCCACGTAAACAGACATGCTTCATGTTATAAACAACACAATACACATCCATATACACTGAAAAATGTTCTCAGCAGAAACCACGGCGTGGGGAGCAGGGTATCATAGGTGAAGCAGGTGTTGCCCAGGGCTCTCACAGGCTTTGCGGAGGACTCCACATGCAATATCAATGTGGATGAAGTGGATAAAAGCTCAACACTGAGGAGGTTTTAGTAAAATTTTATTTGATCAAGGAAAACATCTAAAAGTGGCTTTGACATTTAAAATCCACTTAATTTAAGCAAGGCAAATGACCAATTTCAAGCATCACCATTATTGGCCATAAACAATTTTTGTTTAAATTGTTTCTCATATTCTACCAGAGGAGAAGTCCAGAACAGAAGCAAACAAAACTTTTTCTTTCTGTAAGTATTGGAATTTCTTACCATCAATAATCTGCTGAAACTAAACTTCAAGGGACAGGATTTACCTCAAGGTCATGTTCACCTCCAACCTGCAATCTGTTAAAAAACAAAGCAAAAACATTTTTAAAAAGTCAGACCATTGTACCCACAACCCGACACAGGGCAGTTAAAAGACATCAAAATCTGTTCTTTTCTTGGCTTTACCGCTATCACTTTGTAACTCATGAGCAGTTAACATAAGCTTTGGCTTCCGTCCACAAAGGGGAAAGAGATTATATGGGGGCGGGGGGGGGAGCACATAATCTTGCATATAAACCAACATGGGTTTAGTAATTGAGAGTATTCAGAATTTAAGGGACCCTTATTAGATGGGATTGTAAAGTTGGTTAGACTTGGCATATAAAATGATGTTGGATGCTGGTACCATTAGATTGCCTTTTATTTGGAAAAGTGTAGATGTAATAATGACTTCCTCCTGGTTGAAACAATGATATGCAATCACTTGTACACATCCAGTAAAATATTTCTGAAGCACATGCCTGGTCATCATATAAGCAGAGCAACTGCATGGACAATGTCACATCCTCCAAAATGTGTTAAAATCCTAACTTTACATGGCTTGCCAGACCCATTCACTACAGTGGGCCCTTCTGTAAATGAGACAAGGTGGGTCTCTATCCAGGGAGGCTTAGCTACCAAATCACTTCCTGGGTCCACTGAAGACTGTGCTTCCGGAGAGGTCCTAAACAGCGCCTCCCGTTTCTCATCACCTTCCTGTCTGTGAGTACAGTACGGTCCCCTTGGGTTAACCCTGCCCTCCTCCACCCTTTCTAATCTATAAGTTTACCATTGCTCTTCTCTATAGAGAGACCATGGAAAGTGCGTAATTGCTGTTGGTAGAGAAGTAGGTCTTGAGTTTATTTTGCAAACAAGACCTGTTCTATCTACCTTTTTATTTAGGAGGCTAATAGCTGAGTCAGCTTGACTTCAAGGACTCTATTTTCTTAGTCTCCAGAAGAACACAAGTCCAGATTTTAAAACACTGCCCTACCATGTTTAAGGTATTAAGGGAATGATAATTATTTTTAAGCTTTAAGAGACCTGAACTCTTCCATATGCTTGCTTTGCCGCAATAAGTAGTTAATGAATCAAAATGCAAGATAAGAGTTTGGGATTTGGAAAGAAGACTCCAGCCAGTCAGCATCTTTTCTTTGTGGTATGAACTTGGATTCTAATCTTGCTGTCCTGCTCGCTCATTCCTAAGACTCTGTGGGTCTCTTATTTGAAAGGAGCTATGGAGATGCTTAAACATAATAGAGTGGATTGGAGGCAAGAACATAATCCATTCACTGGGAGAGTATCCACGGAACAAAATTGAGGTTTGTTCAGTGTGCTTTTTAACAAAGTAGAAACTTAATTTTTAGAGATGGTTTTATTAAGTATAACATTGCTTTTTGGTAAACCTGTCCTACCTACCATTCTGCCACTAGGAAGGATTCCTACCCTTGGACTTCCTTTCATATCCCATCCAGTTAAGGGGGAGAGGGACTGGGACTGAAAGAAAAGGAAAACTAGAGCACTATCCAAAAGTAAGGATAGAGCTCTGGAGAAAGGTACGTTACCCGACACTGTCTTATTTACAACTTACAGTTTAGAAACCAGACACAGATCCCCAAGCACCTACAGTGGCCCTACTCTTCCTTATGCACCCAATACACATATACCAACAGTGTATTTCCAAATTAATCCAACAATACCTGAGTTTGTACGGGCCCTCAGTTACATCCCTTCCTCGACACAGTATATCACGGCTGTGAAGCTCAGGTACTGATTTTACACACACACACACACGTTCCTGGAAGTAATGCAATACAAGGTCTATGCGCAGAGTGGACGGAGCAAGCTTCTACTCCATCTCCCAGCTTCAAAACTCCATTTAATATATCACCCTCGGATAGAGAATGTATCAGGTATTAACTGATAAGAACAGACACTACACTTGATCTTAGCCAAAAGGCGGAGAAGCGGTCACCTACTGAGTTTTTTAAATTAAATTTTGTTCTGTGTATTCGTCCCTCCCTCGTCTATCCCCACCACCGCTCCGTGCTCGCTTTTCAAACAAGATTGAGAAACCTGAGCACAATGAGCTAGGATGACACCGAGGTAGTTGGTGCGCCTATGCTCCGACCTACACGCTGATCCCTCTCCGAAACTCCGGTTCCCCGCCCGACCCCCGAGACCTGACCCGCCCGCATGCCTGTTTACTAGGACGCTGCTGCCACCCGCCCCGCTCAGTGGCCAGGAGACGGCCTTACTACTCCACGCCACAGAAGCAGCCAGAAGCTCCGGTGTCTAATCTCCATGTCAAGCCCCTTCTCTTTCCGGAGGAAGAAAACCGTTTCCGGTTTCCGGGGCGTGGGGGGGAAGTCCCGCCCTCCGCAACAGCGTGACGTAAGGAAATACGTCGAGGCGCCGCGCGCCGGCTCAGAAGTGATGACGCTAGTGGCGCTCTTAGTGAGTCGCGCCAGTAGACCGACGGGAGTCCAAGTGCAAAGGGCAGACGGAGAGGAGGTTATTGTTGCTGGGTGTGAGGAGCGGGGAGAGGGCCGGGAGCCCTTCAGCGGGGCATGGCAGAGCGGCTTGGAGGCTCCGTCGCCTCCCAAAACTCCCTCCTCTCGGGGCGACCTCCCGTCAGCTGCCCTGGTTTCTCGCTTTGCTCCGCCTGCCGCTTGTTGTACTCAGTTTCTCCCCGTCTTTTGCGTCTCTGTGCGGCCCCACGTCTTTTTGTGAGAAAGGCTACCACTTATGAGCATCGGCTGCGCATCCTGCCGGCAGGCGCTCATAAGCCGGGCTGTACTGGAAGGGACGGAGCGCCCGCAGAGCCCTCCACTCCGCTGTGCGGCCAGGAAGACAAATTAGAAATTGTAATAGTCCTTGTTTTAGTTTCCTAAGGCTGCCGTAACGAAGTACCACGAGCCGGGGGGCCTAAACGACAGATGTTTGTTCTCTCACAGGTCTGGAGGCTAGAAATCCGAAAGGAAGGTGTCAGCAGGATCATGCTTCCTCTGGAACTGGGTAACTCCCTTCCTTCGTTCTAGTTTCTGGTGGCGTCCCGCAGTCCTTCGCCGCTCTTTGGCTTGCAGCTACTTCACTCAGCTCTCTTCCCGACTGTTCTCTCCCTCTGTGTCTCCGTGTCTGCCTCATGTAAAAGGACACCAAGCGGGTCCTCTCCGATCAAGGGCCCGCTTGACTTCTGTATGTGACCTGGTCTTCACTGATTACATCTGCAGTGATCCTGTTTCCAGATAAAGTCACATTCTGAGGTTCCGAGAAGGACACGAATTACGGGGGTGATCCAACCCAGTACAGCTGTCAAGAGCTTAAGAAGCAGGCAAGACAAGCCCTGGCAGGTAGCTCGGTTGGTTAGAGCACCCTCCATACCCCACGGTTGCAGGTTCCCCGGGCAGGGCCCATAGGAAAATCAACCAGTGAATGCATGAAAATCAATATGTGGAACAACAAATCAATGTTTCTCTTCCTCTAAAACCAATATTTTTTTTTTTAAAGTAAGCAAGACAACAGCTGACAATAAATAATTGTAATATGAGTGAATTCAAATGTAGTTCAATTGGATCTGAGAAGTTTCTGTGGACGTTTGGACTATTCCCTTGATAGGTAGGTAGATTTGGATGAGCCATCAGAGCATTCCAGGCAAACAAACATCGCAGATAAGAAAGCACACGTTGAAATCTAAAATAAGTTAAAGCAGGAAAGACCTTGAGTGCAGGTTGGGAAGCTTGGAGTCTATTCTCTGTAGAAAATGAGGAGTAAATCAGTGTTTCAGCTGTGGAGGTGTACTTTCAAGATTTATTAGGAGCTTGAGCCAAACCCACCTAGGGTTACTAATTCCAGTTTAAGAAATCGTAAATCCGGCGGCGTCTCTGCTCATTGCTGTCCCTTTTTCCTAGAATGCGGCCAATCAAGCCACATAATTTTGACTTGTCAGTTTTTATGTCCTGGAAGTTGTACTCTATGTAGCGGAGAGAGTTGTTCAACTTATAACGTTAACTTCCCCTTAATGCCAAAATCTAACAAAAATCACACAAAAAAACGACACAAAAGTCACATTCATACAGAGCTCTAAATGAAATAATTAAATTCAGCCCTGCATTCTATCTGGAACAAGAAAGTGCTGATCCCAGCAATGCTTTAACATTAGAAAATATGTTGCTATAAATCATTGTATTGGTAGTTTAGAGACTTTAAACTGTATGATTATCTCAACTGACAATATGTTTTCTGAAAAAAATTCAATGTCTATTTTCATTTAAAAGGAAACTGCAACTTGATAGAAGGCAGAAATACACTGAACAAAAGATGTAGCGTGCTTTTGTGGGAAATGTGAAATATTATAGAAAGGCATTAAAACAAATACATGTTGATTTCTGTTCCTGGATGAGAAAATCCAGTGTTAAAGATAGCACTTTATCACAGATTAATAAAAAAAGTTTTGATATGGTGCCTATTGAAATAGTGATAGCATCTCCAAATAACTCTATTTGGTCAAAGTGCTATTCTTTTGATACACTCTTAAGTGGCCTGTATTGACACTTTATTTAGAACGTTTGTGTCTCATTATGAGATCGGTATGTAGGGGTTTTTTGGTACTATGGTAATCAGATGTTGGTGTTTAAAATTACATTAGATCCCTTCAATTAGGGAGTATTTCATATTTTTCTATAGTCTGAAATAACTTAAATTTAGAACTATTTGCTCTTTTAAGGCTGAATAGAGAACTCAAGTGTGACACTGTACTATATGATACGGTAGTAAAGGGTGGATGGGGCATCTGGGTACCCTGGGGGGGGGGGCCAGTGACGGGGGAAGGACCCGTTCAGAGAGCAGGCCCAAGCGGCAGGGCTGGCTGGCACAAGCAGGTACGGGGTAGGGGCTGAGCACCAGGAAGAGTGAAGAGAGGGTGGGCGAAGGTACCGGTTACCTACCCCAATCCCCAGCCTCACAGCCTCTGGCTGCCACCTGCCCCCAAAGCTGCCAGGAGCAGGAAGTGCTGCTCTCCAATTGGCCTAGACATTGATGCTCAGAACAGGGCCCCAGGGCTTCCTGCTCGGCCCCTTCACCCGACTGAGGGGCACAAGGCTCGTTCTTGCTGTGGCCACAGAAGGAGAGCAGGAGCAAGGTGTGGAGCGTGGCTACTGCACCATGAGCTGCTGGGGCTCTGGGGGGATCAGTCTGCCAAGAGAGAGGCAGTGATCGGAGGCTTTGAAAGGGAAGGAAGGGCCAAGCAGGGTGTGCTGGGGGCTCAGGGGAAGGACCAGCTCCGCCCCAGTGGGAAGCCCCGCCCTTGTGGCTGAGGGTGGCGGGCAGGGAGCATGACCCTAAAACCTGGCCTCTCACAGAGGAGCCCTTTGTCCAGAGCTAGGCTGAAAGGGGACGGGTGGGGCTGGAAATTCAGGTCAGACCACGGCCACAGAGCTCAGGGCTGCCAGGATCGCCCCAGAGGCCTGTGCTCGGTGACGGGACCCCGCTGGGTGGAGAACCAGCGGGGGCCTCTGGGGGATGGAAAGGGCCCTGGACCCCGGAGAGAGTGGCCTGTCACCCTCACACCCAGGCTCAGGGCCACCCTGGCCACTCTGTTCTGAAAGCGTCCGTCAGGGTGAGAGGAGCGCGAGCACAGGCCCCCAGCATGCCGCCCTGACAAGGGGGGCGGTGCTGTCAGGCTGGGCGCCCAGAGACTGGGGCGTCTGTCCCCTGGGCTCCTGCTCACAGGTCCAGGGCCTTGCTCCTTTTCCTGTCCCGGCTCATTGAAAGCCAAGGGGAGGGGTCCCTTGGGGTCAGGAAGGACACCGGGGTCAGTGCCTCCGGAAGGTGGGGTCTAGGGAGGGGGTGCTCTTTGCTGGCGGCAGAAAGAGGCAGAAATGTACAGTGGTTAAGGACAGGCGCTGAAGCCAGACCGCCTGGACCTGCATCCTGGTTCTTCCCCTTGCGAGTTGGTAACCTCAGCGACCTCTCCTGGCCTCAGTTTCCCCATCTGTAGAATGGGAATGGTGCCAGCAGTACCTTCCTGGCATCGCTGCTAGGGTCGGATGGAGTTGTAGCACAGTTCTGGTATCAAATACCATCGTTGTGGATGGAGCAGCGCACGCAGACCTAGATCCCTGCCTGGATGGGCATCTTCTCACCCAGACCCTGAGCCGAAGCCCAGGGGCCCCGCTGATGGCGGCCAGAGTGCCTATTCAGCTCCATCCCGCTGGGGAACTTTCCACGGGAGAGCCAGGGGCCTTTCCAGCTGGGTGATTCCCTGCGAGCTCTGGGCCAGGGGTGACAGGGAGGTGGCCCGCTCTGAGGGCCCATTGTTCTCCTTGGAGCTGAGAGATGCCTTCTCTCCACCCTTCGTCCCCTGACGCCCAACTCTGCACACTGAGGAGTGAACCAAAGATAAATCTCTCCCGTTTCCCCTGGTCCAGCTCACAGAGAGCTCTCAGTGCCTCCCAATGGCCCTGCGGTGCCCAGCCTTTCAAGTGTATTGTCCCCAGTCCACAGATGAGGAAGTTGAGGCCCAGAGGGAACAAGTGGCTCATTTGATGTCCAATATGGAGAAGTGGCACAGTGAGGACTAGGTCTGCAGTCCTGTGTCCTGTCCTGCAGCACAGACTCATGGGTGCTTGACTGGGTCCTTGTGGTGCGAGGTCTAGGGAGACGGAAGGAGGCAGCCTGAGCCCAGGATAACCTACCGTCCAGGTTTCCCTGGGTTCCCAGGAGGTGGGACTTTGTTTTGAAACCTGGAAAGTCCCAGGCACTGGAATGAATTGGTCACTTCCACAGCTCTCAGTCTGGGAAAATGAGACCCACCCAGCAATAAAGGGAGGATGCTGTTGCCTGGGGCCAAAAGGGAAGAGGGCCAGGATGGGGGAAACAGTGGTGGGCACTCTCCCGTGGGCATGGGCAGCCCTGCTCCTCATTTCTATACGGATCCTTCCCGCCTACGGCCAGGCGGCTGGAGTCCTCCAC